GCCGGTCCCCGGAGAAGGCTGCGCTGGCGCCCGCCTCGCCGGTTCTCCGCCCCGGTAGGCACACGAGCCTCTCTGTCCCCCCTTAGTTCGCCACTGTCTATAAAGCAAGGGATAAGAACACCAACCGAATCGTCGCTATTAAAAAGGTGAGTGTCAGAATATTTTGCTGTTGTGTGGTTAGGCGTCTGGTTGGTCTTGACGTGCCTAAGGATTGGTGGGGTTTTTTTGACCGACTTAATGGGTATGATCTAGTTAACCTGTCTTTAATGCCTTCCCCTGCCCCCAAGAAGAGAGGCTAGCTCTAGTCTTACTACATTTCTGAGTTTCTGAAAGGTTATCTGACCTGTAACTGGGAATTTCGGTTATTTCTTCAACAAATTTATTTTTGAAAAAACTCACATGTTCCCAAACTTCAGACTTTATTAGTCCTTGATGGTGACTCTTTTTTTTTTTTTTTTAACTTTCCTCCTGCTGTGCCCGATTTCGTTCAGTTCAGGAATGTTACTCCTAATTAAGTTCATTACAATTAATGGTAGTTTTCTGGCAAAATTTGACGAAAGTGATCTTAGATCTGCAACTTGCCTATTTTGAATACAAATGTTGAAAATGTTTATGTTGTGATAAAGTGATTCACTTCACGCTATCTGAAGAGATTGCAGGAGATTTTTGTATTAAAAACAGATGATTAGCTGTGTTTTGTGAGGGATGAAAATGCACATTACAGTGCTTTAGTTAGTTAAAGGTCCTACTTTACTAGACGAGTTGAACAATAGTAAGTAATTGTGTTTGACGCACTATTCCCTTTTAGCATTACAATACTTTTCCTGTATGGTTTCTGCTAGTAGCAGCTGTTGTGAAAAGCGTTCTTGTTTGTGTCAGAATATTTTCTTAACTTTCGTCATGTGGAAGTATCAGTGGCGGGATTCTGGACCTGAATGTTTCAGGTCAGTGGATGATTGAGACAGAAGGCCGTTAAGGCAGCCCCAGTTTACAGAGTGTACTAGTTCTACTAGAATCATTCTGAGACGACTGTCAATTACTTTGCCCTCATTTCATCCTAGGGAGAAGCTCGTTAGTGGTATAATAAGGCTTTGTGGCTACAATGCGTTTTGTGCTGCCAGTTTGCATTATGTCTGTTTTCAGTGCTGTCATGACTATTTTTAAGCTTTTTTAAAAGCTAATGCTGTAGACGGAAAAAAACCCCAACCAACCAAAACCCAACCACCTCAACCCTAGCTGGTAAAGCACTTCATCGTAGTGAAACTCATTCTGTCTTAGAGGAGTAATAATAAAGAATGTATGTCCTACTGGTGGAGCAGATGGCTTAACTTTGTGTAATATGAAACATTTCTTTTCAGATTAAACTGGGACATAGATCAGAAGCTAAAGATGGTGAGTTTTAAAACAAATTCATGCTGCAGAAGCTGTGCTTTGTTTGCTTTGGTTTTGTAAATTGGTACCTTGATTTTCTACACCATAACTTGGCTGAGAAAAAATCAGCTCAGATCTTTTAGCGTAAGGCTTAGTAGAGGATTACTTCCCAAACTGCAGGGACAGAAAAAAGCAGTAGAGATATCTGCATGCATAGTATCTATCTAAATATGAGTGTGCAACCAGCTAGCTTCTCAGTTTAAGTGAAATACGAACATGAATATGGCATACAATAACAATATTTGCAGCTACCAGTTTGGAATACCTTTTTGTATTGATGCATCTCTGTGCCTTAAATATTTAAGACCAGTGAGAATATTTATCTTTGTTTTCAGGTATTTCCTTTGTTCTATTTTTGTGAGTTATGCTGAGACAAAACTTAATAAAAACAATATCTTAAAACTCTTGTCTGTGTGGGTTTGTTCTATGTTGAGAAATCAGGTCCATCGAGCACTGTCTTTTGATCATGTGCTCTGACCGGCCATATATGTGCCTTTAGGCACGGATGTTGCAAGCAAAAACCCAATAATCTTGGTCTTCTCTTACAGCCTGTGTAGTGCAGTAGAATTTTGTATGTGTGTAGGCTGCTATCCTTCAGGGATTCTGCCTCAGGTTACCGACTTTTCAGTGAAGAATCTTTGCTCTCAACTCTCTAAATCCGTTTTAAGGGAAGCATATTTAAAGAAACTGAGCAGTTTCCCCAAGTCTCACAGTTGAGCTGGCTGCCAGAGAGTTCTGATCCATCTGGCCTTCAGCAGATTAATGTCCCTTAAGGACAGTCATTACTTTTGGCCTATACAATGTCTAGCTATGGTTCAAAGATTTTGTTAAAACTAATGATCATGCCTGATTTCCCTGTGCTGTCTGATAACCTGTTGTACTTTTCTGAATCTAAGACTTTGCTCACCCAAAAGCAGCCGTTGTTGACTTGATTCTAAAATAGGCAAAGCAAGAGTATAAAGTAGTCCATGTAGCTTTACCCAAACCTTTGCTGGAGTGTTACATGTTGAATCATATCACAGGTTTTAGGAGAGCACTGTTTTTCAGCTCGTGCACAGCTGAAAATCCCCGCGCAACATATCACAGGAGCATTTGCTTGCCAGTCAGTTTTTGTGCAAGCCATACAGACCAGCATTTTTGAAGGAGAAATCGTTACCCTGCAGGAATCATGGTTTGATGCAGTGCAGTCAGTGTGGCTGCCAAAGGGCGGTATCCCACCTCCTCGGTTTTCCTCTGTAAAATCTGACTATTAAAGGTATCAGGCAAGGGTGAGCAGGTTTTGGTCACTGTACCTTTTATGCCACAGCATGAATATAGAAAAATGTATGTGCCTTGCCTTATTAAATAATGCTATGTCAAAAAGAATAGAGAGAGATTCATGAAGTTTGTCAGTGTACCTCTCCTGGAAGTGAGAATACATTGAAGAACTGATACTTGCAAGATGTAACTTTTCTTTAAAATAAAACCAAAGCTTACAATACCCTGAAAATGTGATTTTTTTTTTTCCCCTAGGCTTTTTCTAGAACTTTCCCTTTTTTCCAAAAGGGGTCCTGTTGCTTCATGATCTAAATGTCATTACTGTGGTGTAGAATTTATTTGCTGTAGAAGAAAGTGTATGTCCACTTTTATTCTGCAGCAATCTACTTATGTATGGCAATCTACTTGTTTAACATTGACTGGTGAGAAAGTAGTATCTAATTGGAAATTGTCAGTGAGTAACAGGATGAGATGTTTCTTTGGATCTTAATCTAAAGTTTTTAATTTTATTCTGTCTCTCATCTGTGTGTGGGTTGTGGGTTTTTTTTTGTTTTTCGATTTAGGAATCAACAGAACAGCTCTAAGGGAGATAAAGTTGTTACAGGAGCTCAGCCATCCAAATATTATTGGTGTAAGTAAAACAAATGCTACTTCTAGAATCAGTCTTCAAATACTTTTGGTACAGGTTCAAACTTAAATGTAGAATTAGTTGGTTTGTGGAGATGCTACTTAATTTTATTTGAGCTATTTTTTCGAGCCCAAAATGGGCAGTAAAACTACTGTTGCAGCAAAACACCTGTTTCAATAACAAAGTAGGTTTTTTTGAAATGCTTTTACTTTTTAGCCTGGGGCTATGTGGATATGAATGGTGAGGACAATTGTGGAAATTTAGATTACCTGATTTTGCATCTCTCTGATTGCAAATGAGTGCAGTGCTGAATTTATCTGATTGTTTGCTTCATGTGAAACTGGTGACCGCCAAAATCAGACTTTTGCAATGGTGAAGTGGGGGATTCGTGTGGTTTATTGGGTTTTAGCACTGATATCTAAAACCTCTGTTGGCAGAAGTAAAACTTACATCTTTTTGGTTGCAGTTAGGTTGACTTCCAGCTACAGATACGCAGCTGGAGCTAAAGATATTTTACAATTAGCCAATAGTGATAATTTAAAAGTCTGACATAAATATTAGACCAAATATTAATTTTCCAGATAATTTATTTAACTTTTTCTGAGTGGAAATATGGTTCTCATCTGGATTGTGAACTTACTTTCAAAGTGGTTGCTTTAGCTATCAAAGTTAGAGAATGTGCAGAGAAGGACAACTGAAATGGTGAAAGGATGGAGTATCTTTAAGAAATAAAGTCTGGGATTCCTTATTCTGGAGAGGAAAAGGCTGGGAATGGGGAGGTCTGCAAAACTGAGGTGGTAGGTGAAGTGCCTGCAGAACTGGTATTTGCAAAACCCCACAGTACTAGAAATAAGAGATATGTTTAAAACATATTTGTGTCAGGGTAAGGGGATGTGTGGAAATTGTACTACTTTGCACAGTGTGTAATGAATTTCTCAAATTTATTGCCACAAGCATTGTAGAAGCAAGCAGATAGCATTCAGCAGTTCAAAAAGGAATTGGACAAATTCATTATCAGCAGATCCATAAGCAGGTTGTACCCCTCTTAGCAGTCCTGGTAAAACTGTTGTGGGTGTTGGAAGTGTAAAGGGCATGAATTAAAAAAAGTGGCCAAGCCTGTAGGCCCACTTGTGTAGTATCTACTGTTGCCGTAGTTTCTACAGGGGAAGAGCATGAGCACAGTCACTGCTGTTACAAACTGTGCGAACAACTGTCTTGCAATTGCGTAATTCACAGGGTCATCACACTGAGGCTGTAAGGAATGAGCCACACCATGGAGAGCACACCTTCCTGATTATAGAGATAGTGATATATCATCAGTGCTAGATGATCTGTTCTTACTCAGCATCACAGTTGTGTTACCTCAAATTAAAAACTGATTCTGTCATTATACAGCTTCATCTTAAGAAAAGACTGTTTGGATATTCTCCAGAGAGTTTTATTTGGCCTAGAAGGCTTGGTACAAAGATGAACATGTGCCTAAGAATATAATTGAGAGGAAGTTACTAAGCCAACACTTAGAATTTTTAAATACTGCATGCATACAGGAGGCACAACACAGAGCTGAATCCATGGGAAAACTTGAGTCTGGTCTCAAGAAAGGGTAGGAGTTTTGTAGAACAGCAAAGTTTGGAGAGAGGACAAGGTGTGCATTAGATTATCTGTTGTAGCTAACATGGTAAACTTAATTTTTTTTTTTTCTCCCCCTAACTCCAGGAAGGGGGGGCAATAGTATAAAATGTTACTACCATGCTTAATAGGGAATTTTTTTTTTTTTATTGCAAGTCAAAAAACTTAAACCAGTTCAGCAAGCTGAAAATCTACATGCAGACTACAGTGGTGCAGAATTTTATAAAACTGGAAGTACAAGAGTAGACTTCATCATAATGTATTTTGTTTTACAGCTTCTAGATGCATTTGGACACAAGTCCAATATTAGTTTGGTGTTTGATTTTATGGAAACAGATCTTGAGGTAAGATTTATTGTTTTAAAAGACTTTTTTTATTTCCGTGTCTTCAAATAGTTTTTGAAAATACTACTCTAACAGGCTTACACTTGCCCATGTTAGAAAAGTGACTTTCATTGTATCAGTTGATTAAGATCCTGTCTTAAAAGCAGTTTAAATAATTCGACATTTTTAATGAGTTTTCAACTGATAATGGCTTTACTTTTAAATACTTGTCAGCACAATCTCCAAGAAGCAGATTGTTTGCCATATCAGTTTTCTGGAACTCCAGTCAGAGCGGAGAACCTCAGTCATAGATCAGCATCTCAGAGTACAATTGCTAAGCATAACATCACCAAACACGTTCAAGTTAGTGTGATACTGAAGTATGCCAAGTGATGAGCTGGTACTAAAATCACATGCACTTGAATCATTCTTTTAAACGTAACAATGCTAGATACTTGCAAATCAGCGTCTTACAGGTGCTTCCTTCTCCAAGAGTCATACTTTGATGCAACATGCTTCATTTTGGAAGACTGTCCTAGATGGCAATTCATATTGGATCTGTATATGCACACGTTATACCTACTCTGGACTGAAATTAATGTAGCTTTTAAGTTAGGTCATTACACAGATGCTGTTAGGAACTGGGGCTAGCATTTAAAATACTAAAAGAAAACATTGACAGACTTGCCGAAACTTGGGTGGATGCAAGGCTGAAAAGATTAGATCAGCTTTTTGCTAATGGAAGTTAAAGTAATGAGTAGACTTTATCTAAAGGATTCATTCTGTTTGTTTAGTAACTACGCAACCTTTAGAGCTGAAGATACAGTCTACAAAGAGGAATGAAATACTCTTGTGCTACATAATACTGTGGTATGCAGAGCATTTAACTGTATTGTGGTGTCACTCAGGCCACCGTTTGGGACTGCAGCCTGTTGTGATTGGACATGTGCTGCATACATGAAATTTTGTGTAGTCTTAGACAACTATTTTCTAAGTCTCAAACAACCTAAAGCTCAGGAAAGGCTGTCACTGAACTAGATGGTAATAATAACCATCAAGCAAGCTTTGGAAAGTAGTGTAGCAAATACTTCAAACAGGATATTTACGTAGAATTTTAATGCTAAAAAATCAAAGAATGTAGAAAACATAGTAGATTTGTTAAAATATAGTAAAGTGGCCGTACCTCCTGTTCTTCCTCTAAACGAGGAAGTAATTGCATTTACAACGATTAGATGCTTAGCTTGCACAGAGAAAGAAGGAATAAGCAGGAACATAATTTCAAGTTCACTGACACATTTATCATTTTTACGTGTACATCTTTGTCTTGTAAGTTTGGGCATCAACCTGGAACTGAGATAAAATAATAAACTCATGTTTCCCACCCATTTTCTCATTTGCTGGTTATTCAAAGTTCATGTAGGCTATCTGGACTCCTCATTTCAATTTCTGATCTGCAGAACAGACCTGTTTTTCTGGAAAAAAGGTGAGAACGGTAGAGAATACATGACTGCAAATTCAACCTTTGTCTTATTTGAGCTGAAAGAATTGAAGTAAGTTAATCTTGCATGGTAAGCTTTACTATCAATTTAACACTTTACAGGTTATTATAAAGGATACCAGTATTGTGTTGACACAATCTCACATCAAGGCATATATGCTGATGACACTTCAAGGATTAGAATATTTACATCAGCACTGGATTCTGCACAGGGTAAGCATGTGCTAAATTGACAACATTTATGCTGTAACAAAAGTCACATTTGATAGAATTTGAGTCTCAAGTCTAATGAAGACAGTTTTGGAGTTCAGGCATTCTTAGTCTGTAAGCATTCATCCTAGCTGTTTGGGAGAATGTTAAGAATTACTGATGTGGTTATCATTTAGATATTTATATAAAAGTGTCTCAAGTTAAATGTGACTTCGATTAGCACTGTGAACCGTGTCTGGCTGGGATGGATTGAACTTTCTTCCCAGCAGCTGGTAAGATGCTGTGTTTTGAATTTGTGCCCAGAACGGTTTTGGTAACACACCAGTGCTATGGTGCTATGGCTACTGCTGAACAGCGCTTGGGCATTGTCAAGGACTTCTCTTTTTCCCACTCTGCCCTCACCCCAGCGAGCAGGCTGGGATGGGCAAGAAGTGGGGAGGGGAAACAGCTGTCACAGCTGATCCAGGTTGGCCAGACGGATATTGCATGCCATAGAGCATCATGCTCAGCAATAAAAACTAGGGTAGAGGAAGAAGAGGGGTTTTTTGGCTTTCAAGGCAGCTGTTGCTTGGAGACTGGCTGGGCATCAGTCTGCTTGTGGGAAGATGGTGAATGATCTCCATTGCATCGCTCAATTGGGTTTTTTCCTCTTTCCTTCACCTGTTAAACTGCCTTTCTACTGCTCCCAGAGTTTTCTTGCTTTTGCTGCTCTTGTTCTCTCCCCTGTCCTCCTGAGAGTGGTGGGTGGAATGAGAACAGAGTGAGCAAGTGGCTGTGTGGGTGCTTTGCCGCTGGCCAGAGGTCAATCCACAACACACTGTTACTGTATTAAAGTGTATTACTGCCATGATTTCTGCAGTTACTTGAAATGTTTCCAGGGTGGTCTTATTATTCATTTGGCAACTATGCAGTTAAGACAGAACTGTGGTTCCTGCAGCAAAGCTAAAACCTATCGAGGCATTTTTATTTTGTTTTATTTTTTTAAACTCTTTAACTTACAGATGATAGTATTCAAATGGGTGTATTTCACTGATTGACATGTATGGTGAAATGCTTGATTTCCTTTTTTTTTTTTTTTTTATTTTTTTTCCTCACAATGTAGATGTGTGATAGAACCAAAAGCTAGTATTTTAGAATAGTGTTATGACACACCTGCTAGGAGGCTTATTATATGTCTGTTTTTATCAACACTGACAAAATTCATTCTTTGTTCTCTATACTTGCAGGATCTTAAACCAAATAATTTGTTGTTAGATGAAAATGGAGTTTTAAAATTGGCTGACTTTGGCTTGGCAAAAGCTTTTGGAAGCCCAAATAGAGTTTATACACACCAGGTAGTAACAAGGTAAGACATTCTGTTTTATTTCTTCCCTAGTGATTGGGTAGCTGTTTTGCACTGTCTCTTGAAATAAGTCATGTCAAATCCACATGTTTGAAGTTTGACATCTAGCTTATGCGATATGGCTGTAGTGGCAAGAGTGTCATAAAGAAAACACAAGAAAGCATCGTTTCGCAAAGTCTCTGCAAGAACTGCTAGAATATGCATCCACAGGGATTGTTCTGGGGTATGATACTCTTTTCAAACACATGGAAATAATATGTATCTGCTTATAAGCCTGGCTTTCAAAGCAAGACAGCTGTTAGTTTATGTTAATCATGAGACCTACAATCTTTTTTTGTAGCTCATCACATTACCTATTATGAGACAAAAACTTGAACCAATTAAAATATATATGTATTAATGTTATGCTCTAAAAAGCAAGACTGCAAAATACGCCAAGTGTTTCCTTTTGCCTGCTGTAATGCTTAAACTATTCAGGCAAAACTGGTTCATTTTAACAGCTTTGTTCAAAAGGCAGAAATGATACAGTAGTTTCAAACGCAGTGTCTACCAGATCATTGCATTAAACTTGATTGTTCTTAGGCACTGGAAGCAGCTGTTTTAAACAACCGCTGTCAAGGTTAGTTTTGCATAAAACTAGTCTCTATACTGAGGTCTGTTGGTGTGGAGATATTTGGAAGCTGAAAAGAATTCTGTCTTTTCATTTCTTCAACATAAAGTTTAAAGAAAATTTTGGTTTATAACATGTAAACTTGCCTGTTAGATACTTTGTTCCTTTGCACATCAGCAGCTCTCTTGCTTGTTAATCAGCGCAGTTGTAACTCTAGTTAATTTGTTGTTATATGTGACCCCATGGTGAGTAATGCACGATTTTGTTCAGTCTTTGTTAAACTAAACACTTTGCAGAGTAGACTACAGCTCTTCAGTGCAGGAGCAGTATCCTCTTTGTAGTTCTTGCATTGCTAAATAAACAGCTTTGACATGAGCGAAGCCAGGTGATTTTCATAGAATCATAGAATCATAGAATGTTTAGGGCTGGAAGGGACCTTCAAAGGTCATCTAGTCCAACCCCCCTGCAAGGAACAGGGATATCTCCAACTAGATCAGGTTGCTCAGGGCCTCGTCCAACCTGGCCTTGAATGTCTCCAGGGATGGAGCATCCACCACCTCTCTGGGCAACCTGTTCCAGTGTTCTACCACTCTCATGGTAAAAAATTTTTTCCTAATATCCAATCTGAATCTACCTCCCTCTATTTTAAAACCATTACCCCTTGTCCTATCACAACTGGCCCTCCTGAACAGCCTCTCCCCATCTTTCTTGTAGGCCCCCTTGAGGTACTGGAAGACCGCTATAAGGTCACCCCGGAGCCTCCTCTTCTCCAGGCTGAACAGCCCCAACTCTTTCAGCCTGTTCTCATAGGAAAGGTGCTCCATCCCTCTTATCATCTTCGTGGCCCTCCTCTGGACCCTCTCCAACTGGTCCATGTCCTTCTTGTGTTGGGGGCTCCAGAACTGGACGCAATACTCCAGGTGAGGTCTCGCGAGGGCAGGTCTCACATTTTCCCAAAATGTGTTTTCTTTTCAGGTGGTACCGAGCCCCAGAACTATTGTTTGGTGCTAGAATGTATGGTGTTGGTGTCGATATGTGGGCTGTTGGTTGTATTTTAGCTGAATTGCTCCTCAGGGTAAGTATTCAAATGTAAGCATTTTGTATTTTCTGTTCAATGCATTACCACTTCATATGTGGGCTTCCTCTCTACTGCTATCAGCAGCAGGCAAAGGCAGTTAGACTGTTCAGGAAAGGAAGAAGTGGGTCAGGGAAAGGTGCCAAAAGTTAGCTAACAATAAGGAAAGTGAAGTTTTGGAATAGGCTAAGGTTCCATAAGCATCACAATCATTGAAAGTCTTTAAAAATAGCTGGGTAAAAAAATTGCAATGAACTGTCACAGTCTTGCCTTGGGGAAAGTCAAGTAGATCACATTCAGAGGACTGGAAGAGTTATGCTTTCACACAGCCTTCTATCAATTTTCGTTTGCTAACCTTCTAGAAATGTGACATCATAGATATGTGCATACTCTGTCCCTTACACATCGTTCCTCAATAACTTTAAATAACTATCACCAGTACCTTAACTGTGAGTTTATTTGTAGTAAGCAGAGGAGTGATGTCTTTCTAAGCTGTGGTTAGTTGACAATACTGGAATGAAGCTGAAGGCTAACATCAGGCTAATCCTATGCCACTCCTGAGCACAGTACACAAATGTGATGGTCCTTTATTATGCAGCTCTTTGGAGATGGCAGGCAAATGTGAGGTGGGGAGTGGAGGGTAGGGGCACAAACACAGCTGAAAGCATCAGGTAGCCTGCAGTACAATTTATCTTCCATGAGTAAGTGGCTTCTGCAGATTGGGGAACTGGTCTGTCTGAAAACACCTTGAAAGAAATCTTTCAGCTTGGTTTATCACATAAACAGGTGTGCTGGTACAATTTGGCTGGCAGTTCGGAAATGGAAATGTACAGTGGCTGTTTAAGCAGCACTAGTGCTGCACTACATAAATATGCAGTAGACCTGCTAAAGTTGGATAAATTCAAGGGAAGTCAGAAAGCAATAAGAGATTGTTGATTCTTTAATTTCTTACAAAGCAGAAAATGCGTTATGGTTCAGTTTTACCACTGTGATAGTTTTAAATGTAATCTCTGCTTTTTCTTCCTGAGTGTGCTGGGTTGAGGGACAATGCAATTTGTGGGACCTTTACAAAAACAGCTTATGTTCAAGGGGCTTTCATGACACCAAAATTTAGTACACTGCCTACTAGGTATGTTCATTACAGTCTTTCTCTCCTACTTACTTAAATATTGCCTCTAATTCTTCATAAATTTACTTTGGTCTTAAAGTCCCTGTTTTTTTGCATTGTGTGCCTGATGTGCAAGCTACAAGTAGAAAAGGGGATACTTGCCCAGTTCAATCTTCTGCTTAGTTTAAATGAGATGAGACACTGATTAGGCAGTTTTTGTCCTAGTGGGTCACTACTCTGCCTCATGCTGTGATCTCATTCCATCAGTCTAACTGCTGCTTGTGTAATCCAGTTACAATTCACTTTAAATGTTTCGAATATATATAAAACCTGACTTCTGAGAGCAGGTGATGGAAAGATCACTGTGACCAACTGACTTTAAACTGGAAACTGAGATGTAAAAATCTTTCCTCTCCGGTGTTTAGTTATTTTACGTTAATATGGTGGTTTAATTTTATGTTTAGCTGTCTCCTGTCAAGTAACTGATATCAAGCTTGGGTTGCAAGAAACCTTCAGAATCTATTTGGACGTCACTAGAGAGCCTCAAATATTCAGTGTACCTCTTTGTGGGCAGCTGGTATACAAAGATGTTTTGCCCTGCGATTATGAAGAATAGCTCAAAGCTACTCTCTAGAATTGAAGTTTAGAACTTAATTCAGTCAAACGCTGTTGCCTTCTTCCAGGTTCCTTTTTTGCCTGGAGACTCTGATCTTGACCAGCTGACAAGGATATTTGAGACACTGGGCACTCCAACAGAAGAACAATGGCCTGTGAGTCCTTTTTTTAAACAAACTGACATTAGTTTTACTTGGTATTCTCTATTATATCTTTTGAAATGAAATTAAAGGGTGTATCAGAATACTTGAGTGTGTTTTCAGAAAGCAGCTGCCTCATCTCACAAAACAGAGGATAAGCAGCTGAGATTTATTGTTTCTCTTGGCAAATCTCTGATCAATACAGCAGTGTTGTTAGCATTAAGCAACCGTAATGAAACTTCTTGGTTTCCTTTCTGTATGTATCTACAGTTTCCTGTGGCTATTGGTTGTTGCATAATGTTTTTGAGATGCTTGATTAATTAGTCTGCTTTAACCTGAAATACTTTCACTTTCAGAAGTAGGAACAATTTGTAGGGACTTAAGTTGGCCTGGATAAATTACAGTTTTAGGATACAGTAAGAAATACCAGACAACAGCTTTAGGGATAAACAATTTGTCTCTGAGTAACAGTACTGTAACAAATACAAATCGGTAGTACAGTTATCTCTGAGATAACAGTAAATTCGGTAATTCAGTAATATCAAGCCAAACTTAGTGTCAGGGCACACAATGACCTACCTAATCATGGTTATCAGGCAGACCGACAGGAGGCACAGCATAACTTCTGATGAGCGACTTGGACCAGCTGGTGGACACGGGGAGTCCTGAATCCCGTGATCAGACCGTCCTCTTTTGTAGTTGAGTTGCGGAAGCACTCTTTGGACTTGTTAACCAGTCATCACATCCCACCTCTGCTCTCCTGTGCCAGTTTTCCTTTGCGTGAACAGTGCTTGAATCCTGCCTCAAATGGTGCACAATCACCAAATATAGCTATAGCTATACAGGGAAATATGTATAAGGGAGTACTAGCACAGCACAATTCTGTTGTTCTGGGATTCTAAGTGAAATGTTTGAAGATTTTTGCAATGACATTTTGCTTTCTTTGGAGAGGAAGAGTTAAGAAAGGGAAGTTAAGGTGGGGAAAGGAGAGGAGATTTGCTATCGTGACAGAGATGATGCATTTCCAAATTAATTTGCAAGCCCATGCGTTTCAGGAATTGAAAGCTTTACTCTCAAGGTTATAACTGACTGAGCACGTTTTTCACTTCAGTGTTAATATTTTATTTTGCTTGGATAAACTTAAAGTGTGATGACTAGAGGTTTAAAATAGTATTAAAATACCGTGTTTGGGTAGTTGTCTGTAAAAAGATGGGTTTTATGACACAATTTTAATGAGATTGTTTTCATACCTACAGGAGAAAGAAGTACGCAATTCATCTGTTTAACTACTTGATACTTTCCTTCCACATTCCCCCCACCTAAATAAAATATATCTCAGTTGTGCATTTCAAAAGTAGCTCAAAACGCTCATGATGATCAGCTAACTTTGAGGAGGACAGCGTATTTATTAACTTGGAGAAAATGCACATTGCTTCTTTTTGAATCTTGTCTTTTCCACCATGTCAGTTTGGAAAAGAAAAAATTTTTCCTTCATCTGCAACACTATAAAGTTCTTTCATACGTTCTTTCTTCGTTAGCAGTTTTTCCTTTCGTACTGGTCATCACTAAAGCACAAGGGAAGGACAGGTTACTTGGAAGGGGAAAGTGTGAAATGACTGTAAGTTGTTTTGTGTTGTTTTTTTTTTTAAAAAGTCTTTGTGACCTACTATTCCTACATTTATTTCAGTAAGTATTAGCAGGGTCTTTTGTGAGATAATTTGCTGTTTCTGAAAGACAGCCGTAAGAATTCAGTTCCCTTTCTGTGAAAAGCTGAACTCTTTCTAACTCAGAACACCTACATGCCATTTTTGTCTTTGTAGGGGATGACAAGTCTCCCAGATTATGTCACATTTAAGTCTTTCCCTGGAATGCCACTTCAACATATCTTCTGTGCAGCTGGTGATGATTTGCTCAATCTTCTGCAAGGCTTATTCACATTTAACCCTTGTACTAGGGTAACGGCTACTCAGGTATAATACACTTGCATTATGTGCTCATGTTCATTAACCTGCTGTTAATATCAGATAAATGTGCTGTGAGGCCAGTAAGCCAAGTTTGAAATGAAATGTCATATAGCTTTGTCTATGAAATACTAGAAACATGTTTCTGGTGTTTTATAGAGGGAATGCTGAAAGGCATGAACTATGCTGACTGATCCTCTCCATTCCCAATGTAGAGTAAAGGCAGACAGCTACCAGGTGTATGAGTCATGGCCGTCAGACAGTCATTATATTTGATATTCAAAATTCGGTCACCAAAAGCTTGAAACTTAACTTTTAACTTCTAACATAGTGTATCTCATTCCCTGGCTTTGAAAGGTTTTAATCCTTAATCAATCCAGGCTCTTCTTCAACTTCATTTAAACTTTTTCGATGCTTTTTTAACATGAAATTCTGTGGTGATTTTAAACCAGCATTCTGATCTGATAATCCTTTTCCATCATACTTGGGCAAAACTGATCTCAGTTTCACTACTTGTTGATGGGGAGAAATGAAAGACTTTGAATGAAAATCATAGAATCATAGAATGGTTAGAGTTGGAAGGGACCTCAAAGATCATCTAGTTCCAACCCCCCTGCCATAGGCAAGGAAACCCTCCACTACACCAGGTAGCCCAAAGCCTCATCCAACCTGGCCTTGAACACTTCCAGGGATGGGGAATCTACAATTTCTCTGGGCAACCTATTATTACTTGGTTGTTTTTCTTCCACTATCATTAAGGCTTTGAAACAGAAGTATTTCAGCAACCGACCAGGACCCACTCCGGGAAATCAACTGCCAAGACCCAACTGTCCTGCAGAAGCTGTAAAGGAGCAACAAAGTACACTTTTAAATCTTAAAAGGAAAAGAACAGAAGGAATAGATCAAGGTAAATTCTTGATGTTTCATCTGTTTTAAAACAGGAGCTACATGCTCAGAGAGAATGTGAGTACTTACAGTGTTTCAGAACAAAAACTCTCTGAATAGGCTACATCCCTGGGCACCAGCACAAACTGAAGCCCTTTAATGGTTTATGGTTTAGGATAAATGAATGACTTCGTTCTGTGTTCTAACAGAATTGGTACAAAAGAGGCTCTTTTATGACAATTACAAATCTATGTTTTAAAAGAAGTATCCTATTCCATTAAATTCTGTAATGGAGTGTGATACTACTCAACACATTAGAGGCTATTATGAGGCCCTTTATTTTCTGAGACATCTTACTGAGGTGGAGGTAACTTAACTTTACATCACTTAAAACAAACAAACACAAAAAAAGGGGAGGTGAGAGAAAGAGAAACATAGCATGTCACCTTTCAAATGACAGACTCGAGAATGTCAATCAGGTTCAGAACAGAGGTTTCTGTTCTCTCTCTCTTGGACTAAGCAAGTTAACTGGTAAGACCGATCTGGGTAAGGAACATTAAGCACATTTCTGTGACACTTTTAAAAGGCAAGCCTATTCCCTAACACTTATTTCTATATGGAGTCTCGAGTCTTCCCCAGACAGTATCATGTACTTCGTATCTTCATGGCAAGAAAAGTTCTGAGGACTCAAGACCTGTACCTGACACTAAATTACTCAGCCCTTCTAGTAGAGAGGCAAATACTGGTTCTTAAACTTGAAGTTGGTGGTTTTAACAGCGGGAACATGCTAGATCACAGCTGTCAGGTTGGCATCAGATTTTCATTGTAGCCAGTATGAGACTGTGTTTTGATAGAAGAGTTATATCTTTTTTGGAATGGAGATGCCTCCATGAAAGTGCATTTCCTCTTTAAATCGGAGAGACAGCTACATCATTAGAGTTTAACTTCCTTTTTAGGCACTTAGACCTATTGCTCCTTAGTCCGTGTCGAATTAAATTATTTTAAGATTCTAATCTCAAAGAAAAATCTTATCAGTTGACTATTTGCATGCTCTCTGCTGACCACAGTACCATGGGTCAACTGACATTTGGGAATTTGTCAAGTTACCATATCTTGAGTAATTAATTTAAGCTTTTTAGCTCCTTTTGTAACACCAAGTGAGGGTCTGTGATTAGTGTTTTGGAGTACATGCCCTAAAATATTCTGTAACTAAAAGACAGGAAAAAGGAAGAAATGCTTCCTTGAGTTCTGCGACTTAACCATTTGAAGTCTTGTATTTGGCAATCAGCAGAGTTTCCAGAGCTGTATCAAGCTAGAACACTAATTGCTTTAACGTCTTTCCGAAAGTCTTGATCTTCAGCTAGAGGAAATCAGACTTGTGTGTTAAATGCCAGGACTTTTGAGATTGGCTATAACTAAGGCATTTAGGACGTCAGCATTACTTTTTGAGACACTTGAGTATCAATATAAAAAGCAGTGTTATTTCCATAGCACATCAGAAAATCTATTATGCTCTGTTACAGTCTTAGGTGAGCTGACAGAAGCTGAGGGTCTCACAGGGAGATCCTCTAGTGCTGACCAACATTAAAGGAAAGCACCAATGTTAGAGCTAGCAAATCTACTACCCTGGATTTCATTTGACATCCTTACATGGAGTTATCATCTAAAGTTAAAATCTGGATATTGATTTGGAAGAACAATCCTACAGTCTTCATGTAAATAAAATTTGAAGTACAGCATGTTTTTATTGCTATTGAGGGTGGAAGTGTGGAAAAGCAATTTCAAAGAAAAATAAGTTACATCCTCTGAAATTTGTAGGCTGGCCTGTGCTTGCATCTTGCGCAGTACATTCT